GGAGAATTCTTATGATGAGACTGGATGACAATCCCAGGAATACATGGAAGAGCCACGTGTAAAGCTCTAAGCCTATGATCAAGGTTTCAATGGAGACCCCAGGAACTTACAAGGTCAGGAATGTGGAACATTTACAGAAGAAATGTGCAGCCAGCAAGTGGAGACAGTCCATGAGAAAGGCCAGGTGTCCTGTAAATGGGAACACCAGGGGGTGCTGCTGGATAAGTCCTTTGGAGTTCACAATTCACCATCACATGGTTTGCTCTCAGACCTCAAGTTATGGAACTGAACATTGTTTTTGTGTGTGTGTTTTGGTTACGTTGTGGTCTGATTCTTTTTTTTTTTTCTTTTTTTGATGGTTGGAAATATAAAGGTTTACTTAAATGACAAATATTGGCTCCACTGAGAAAGAAAATCAGGCAACATAATGTACATGGTATGATATCCAGTGATGTTAGGAAATCAGCAGGTATTTTGTCTCATCACAACATGGAAAACATAATCTTCATTAATGTACAAGTTATGTGAAAAGAACACAACTTTGTCGAAGACACATGCTCCAAGCCTCTATATAAATGTGATTCTTTTAGATCACTTATTTCTCCCTTCTGACAAGCAAATGCTTAACTTGCACATTATTTATCTTTGGAACATGTAATTTGCTTTCTGAATTTTACAAAGATTTACAGCCCAAGATTGTCATATGTGTGACAGTACATTCCATATTTGGATTTTTTGACCAATGATATAACTCTTGAGACTTGAGGAATGGGTTAGTGTACTTATACTTATACACAGAGGAGTTACATCATGTTACATCATACTCAAAGGTATGATCTCATTTGTCTATTAAGTATAGTTTAAGAAGATATGCTTGGTGTCAAGCTGACAAAGTGTGGATTGCCTTTGAGTCTCAGCTTAACTGTCAATTTGATTGATTTAAGAAGATGCCTAGATTAGTAAAGTCCATTCTAGTTGTGTTTATTTGGGTAAGCTAATGTGACCTTAAGACTATATCTGATATCTAACCTCTTTCTCTCCAACTCTTTTCATTTATATTCTGTTTTCATTCCTAATATATACTATTTAATAAACTATTAATGAACTACTCAAAATTAAAGTGTCAAAGAATAAGATAAAGACAGATGGAAATTTTGATATTTATTCACATTGCAATTAATAATCAGATGTCCTTTCTGTGTAATTGCCCTACAGATTGAAGGAGGAGGGTCTGGTCATTTCTCCAGGCCCACATCTTCACTTTATCGTACCTTTGGTTCATCACTTTCTCTCTTGAAGGGGCTAAGTTTCATGGAACCTCAGAGCAGCTTTCACTTTGTGATGAAGATTAAGAAGCAGAAACTTACTAGCTGCCAAATTAGAGCTAGTTGTTTGTTTGTTTTAAAGACACAAATTGAAACAATATGACAGACAAATGCACATCAGGAGATAAAAAATTCAATCAAGCTGTGATTTTCAACATTTTCCTTTTCTTAACTCAATAGCTTTATAACAAAATGGTACAGGATATAAACTCAGTTAATAATTAGATTTTACAGATTGACCTAAAATTAATAGAGATAGATGCATACACATATACATACAAATATATAAGTATTTTTAAATATAGATTAAATTAAATGTAATATAAATGATTATGTTAAATCTTATTTTCTATGAAGTATATCACATTTGCTATAAATTATGTAAATTTGTCAGAGGCATACATATATAAATTTGAAAGTATCAACATAAAGACAAATACACAGACATATATCTATATAAGTCTGGGTATGCATACATATATTCTTATTTACTAACAAGTAAGCTTCAAGTCAGATTTTGGTTTAAGCACTGGTTAAAACAAAAACTATATGAAGAAAAACCAATGTATTATGTAGCCCCAAAGATAAAAATATTAGAAGAAATACTTACAAGAAATAGTTAAAGGTATATGCAATGGAATATATCCAGTTGTTTTCTTTTTCCTCAAACATTACAAAAATTACATTTTATTATAGCACTGCAAAAGCAGTTTTAAACACTGTCAAGAAGTATTTGCTTAGTGACTAACAATATTCTGTTAAAAATTCAGAGATGTGCCTATATCCTTTTCTCTTTATATTTTTAGTTTTCCTGTTACATGTTTTCTATTTCTGTATAATTGGTTTCATTACTTTATATCAGAGAATGCCAAAGGTTTCATTACAAATTTTTAGAAATAGAATAGTAAAGCCTTTGAGACAATTATCTTTAATGTGACTTAAATGCAGAAAAATTTTGACATATTCATTTCTTATGGTTTATGTATAGTTTGCTGATTGCTAAAGGAATGACATTTCTAAATTTTCCACATGGACAAAATTTAAAATAGATTATTTTAATGTATGACTGATGTGCCAAAATTATTATCACGCGAATCTAAAAATTTTATTTATTCTGAAACTTTTTACAATTCAGACAAAGATAAAATGTGAATGATGTATACTGAAAAGTTGCTGCTAAAACAGAATTTCAAATTTGACTTGCTATGCCAATGAAAGGTTTCTGAAAAATACATGTTTTTTCTTTAATCTCATGCTGTGCTTTGATAATTTGCAACGTAATTATGGATAATTAATGTGACAAATTCAGACAAAAATATTCATGAATTGCTAATTGAGGTACATTGTTCAAAGTGAGAAGAGTATCCTCTTGGTGATTGATTTCACTATGTTCAAAAGGGTATGCTTCATTTGAAAAAGAAATTGACTTGTTATAAGTTTTGAAAAATGAATTTTAGAACAGTTTGCTGATTCTCTCTGCTGAGTGGTGATATTAAGTTACACATTTCCCAATGTGATGCTTAACTTGGTATCTAACAGTGTTTTAGCTAATTTTGCAAAGGAATCCGAGATATCAAATCTTTAAACTGTTATAAATATAAAATAGTAGATTCCATACTATTTCAAACTCCATCTATAGTTCAAAATGACCAACATACATTAAAGAAATTATTATGACAGCAAAATGTACATGTTCTGTTTCCTCTATTCACTTTCAGGATTCCCAAATAGTAAGATAACAACTTTAAAATCTAATGAATATATGGTATACAAGAAATATGATACACTCTTTAGAAAAGTTTGAATTTTAATTTAAAAAATCTTAAGTACTGCTACTTAATGTTTTAAACACATGAATATTTAGAAAGTGCATACACTAAGATCATGAGTTCTAAAAATAGTGTCAATTTATATTTACTTATGCATTATCACTTATAAATTATAAGCAGTAACAATATGAGATATTCTTGGGATGAAGCTGGTAGCTTAAATGTCTGGAAGAAATTTATGCACGTCATTTGTTCACATCTAAATCAAATTTATTTTTGATAAATTATATAAAAATGTAAAATTCCACATATTAATGGATTTCATATTGTACATAAATAGAGAAGCATACATGCTGAATAATATTTAAGACAGGTTACATATATTTATTTTCCTCAAACATCATTTCTTTACAGTGAATCTTTCAAAGTATGAATCATGTTAAAACACCTTTCAGTTCATGATAGTTTAATCAAATTAATTTAAACATTTTCTAACCCTTGTAAAGATTCAAAGGAAGAAAACATAAATAAATAAAAAATGTAAGTGGATGATCTATCTTAAGAATCCTACAAATTAGGGAGTCTGGCATGTACGTAAGCATGTATTTGTGTAAATATATATAAATGTTTCACTAGAGCATATATTTTAAAAATTTCTACAATATAAGGCTACGAAATGCAGATATAATTTACATAATGATGTGACATATTCATTAGCTGTTACATAGCTTTAATACAGCAGAAAACACATGTAAATTAGCAGTTAAGACATTGCTAAATTATGTAAATTACTTAAAATTTTGAATATTAGACTTTTAATTTTCAAATTGTTGTTCCTGTTAGAAACAAGTATATTGGCTATTACATTTGATAACTAGAAATGTTTGTATTATGTTGAATATTATATGTTTCTATTCTTGAAGTATTTTAATATATTTGAAGGATTTATATAAATAGTATGATTTCAATATTAATAAAATTTTATTACAGAAAATTTACTGTCTATTGTAAATACATCCAGAGTCTATAGTACTAATACAATCATGCAAATCTTTTTATCTTAATATCTTTCTTGCAAGGAAATTAACTCAAAAAGTAAATTTTTAGAGAAATATTAAATTACATAAAGAAAACATTTTTGTTTTTGAACATTTCATGCTATTTTCTATATTATTAAACTTATTGAAGTATTTTATTAAGTTTAATAAGCAGATTAAAATTACATTTACCAAATTAAAATTGATGCACAATTGTCTTTTATCTTTATTTATACTAATATATTGTTTATGTTTTATTATTCTTTTAATTACATATAGCTCACATAATGTATATGCAAATCTGCATTCACAGATTAGCATGAATTTATATTAATAATGTTCCTCAATATTTTTATTTTGATTTATTATAATTGCAGAATTCTTAATTATTTAAACCTTTTTGCAAAGAACTTTGAAGGTAATAGAAAGTTTGATAGCAAAAGAAAAAGAAGGAAAAGTGAAAGACAAATAATTATGTTAATTTTGTCAAGCCTGTCTTTGAAATAATACTTAATGTTATTAAAATATGTCATATTTTAAAGCATTAATCATAGTACCTGATAGTATAAATGTAAATACGTGGTAAGTCACAAAAATAAAATGTTGGAGATACAAATATTTGCAGTAGCTATCCACTCATCCAAGATAACAAAATTTAAAACGCCTTAAAATATGAACAACTTTGCAAGTTTTTGTTTTCTCTCGACCAGCATTGTAGCAATGAAGACTTATCTACCACATACTTGTTTTAGAAAAAGCTCATGAATTTAGCTTTCTTTAGAAACATTTTCTTCCAAAGTACAAAGTAAAAAAAGTTTTTAAAGTGATTTTTGGGTATGTCTAGTCAATACACTAACACCCACTCTTACCTGTAAAGCTTCAAATTCCAGAAATTTGAAGGACACTGAAACTCAAACTTCTTATGAAACACATGAGGCATAGTAGCAAAGATCGTACTTAATTGTCTCACAGGCTTCTTAACAAAATTTCGATACACTGCTCTGCTCTGAGTTACAGACTTTGTGCTTTTACTGCCTCAACAATGTCAGTATGTCACTGCTTACTCAATGCTATTTTGGGATCTCTGAATACAGCCACGAACACTGAGCCTTTTGTGCTTGCATCATAAGGGCACTCTGATATTCATCCGTGGTCTACGATTAAAATGCAGACAGCTAAGCAAGTAATATAAGATGCTTGCCTTTTTTCCCTCCTCCTGTCTTTTTCTTGATGGCAAGCAGCAAAAGAAAATAAAGTAATTATTAGCCTGGGGTGATAAGCAGGCAATTCAACTTCTGTAAGAGATCTCTGAAAGTGGAAAGAACGTGTACCCTGCTTGGGGATTAGCGGATGAAACAAGTGATCAATTTAAAGTAAACACAAAGTTACTTAAAAAATATTTTCCATTGTTTGCCTGGGCCATTTGACTGGTTCCTATTCAGTTATTTCCTCAGGATAGAAGGAAAATACATAATGAGAGACCACTGTCTAAATGACAATTCTCAATTATCCTTGGTTTATTAAATGAAGATATTTATTATTCATGCTCATAATTTGATTTTGCTGCAAAGCAGAATTATTTTTGTTTACAAAATACATACTTTTTTCTTCTGTGCTCTTTACTCTGTACTGTGTTGTTTTCAGTTAAAAGTTTTTCTAGTCAAATCAAAGATCATTTAAAACTACTGTAAACATTGCCATACTGTAATTATCCTTATAAAACCATATATATGTCTTTAATATGCAATTATTGTAAGGCGAGAAACTTCAGTTTCAGAAATAGACTTAAGCCCTTCAAAGTAGGTCTAAATCCTGGTCTATTTTACTTTTTTTATCCTAACAAGGAAGGATAGTATGAGAAGAAGAAAATTACAACTTGCAAAAATTAGAACAATTATGTGATATCTGAATTTTGTTATACTTTTTTATTAGTTTACAACAGCAACATTTTATCTGTTGCTATTTGGAAAAAATCATATGTCTCTGAAACAGAAAGCAAAACAAAAGAAAATAAATTTTCCCATTTAGCATCTTGCATGAAATGTTATCTAATGAGCCTGTTTATTTACTTATTCTCTCAACTTTTTATGGACATTTTTTAAATTGTGCGCACTACTAAATACATTTAATTCATTCATTTTGATATAAATTTTTCTAGTCACATTTAACCAAAACTATAGATAGATACATAGATAGATAGATAGATAGATAGATAGATAGATAGATTCACTAAAAAATGTAGAGTATACACACTTCAGAAAAACTTGTGTAAGGTATGCATTCTTTTAATTTAACACATGCAGGCTTTTTTTCTGTGGGTTCCTAGAGGATGTTGTATATCACAGGAAACCTACTACATGGCTCACCCTTAAAGAAGAAATTTCAAATGCATGTATAGCAATCTCAATGACCAAAATTACCTTAGCAGCAATTCTCCATACTAATAGACATCTCAAACTTAATGGCCACCACTTTGAAAATCTTTTGTAATTGTGGAGTCTAAAGATAACTTGTATTGATTTCATGATATCTCAGTAAATTTATTCTTAAAATATTTATACAAGTTTTTTTTTTTGTGGTATACATTTTTGGCAATCTGTCCATAGTACTATATAGATGTATGTATAAGTATGCATTTTAATTTTGATTCCTGGAATTAACTCTATATTAACTCAAAGGTTATCAGTTACACTGATAAAATAGTAGTTAGTTTTGCTTTTTTGACCCCACCCATTTGAAATCAAGCAGTGTGTGTGTGTGTGTGTGTGTGTGTGTGTGTGTGTGTGTGTTTTCCCACAAAAAGTTTTTCAATGCTTTTATGGCCATTTAAGCTTTGTTCTGGGTCAAAAAGATGGATGCCTGTGTTTTAGCTCCAGAGAGGGTGACAGGTCATCTCCATGTGCACATACCTTCTGACACATAGTCTGAAGCCTGTGTCTGACTCTGTAAGTTGATGCCAATGAGAAATTAGCATCAGTTGTATTTAAGATTCTCCTTTTCATCCTTGGTAAATTGGATCCACTGTATTCATTCTACCAGTCTTAAATTATTTGTGATGCTCTAGGTGCAATTTTAACTTACTTCTCATGTCACAGATCTATTCAGTAAAGTATTTAAAGCAGTTTTTCTTCTCACATTTGGTAACTGTGATGACAGAACAATTTGGTCATGAGTACAGTGTGTTGTCAGATTCTGAGAAAGCAAGTAATACTTCTAGCTTTTGAAAGACCTTAAAGAAATATAAAGTGTCATAATGTTCACACTCCCTTGACATTTGGGTGAAGGAAGCAGTGAATAAGAGAAAAATCACAATTGGATTATAATTTATTTTCTTTCTCCTTATTTTACCCCAGTTTTGCCTCATTCATAGTGCTAAGGTAGAAAGTACACCTGATAGCATCCCTCACCTGTTTTTAATCAGTTCAATGCTCCTTGCTCCACTCTCTTGCTTAATGGAGAATCCAGTCCTCAAAAATTTCGGATCACTATTCTTTTCCTCCTTAAAAGTTGGAAAGTAAAATAAAAATAGCAATACTTGTTTGGACAAGACAAAGTTTTATTTAAAAAGGTAGACTCTCAAAAATCAAGATAGTTAGGTTGGAAAGATATTTATTTTGATATTTTCTTAAAACACCATTTAGTAATTCAACATCTTATTTGACTTAGTTGCATTCTTTTAACTTCATAGTAATAAATGCTCCTGATTGAACAGGTAAAAAAGCAACAAAATAAAAATTTATTATGTGAAAATAGTAATTCCACATTAACTTGTGAAGAATACAAAATAGTGCACATTCTCAGATTCTTCCAGGAAGACACTTTGAGAATATTTGTTCTGTAATATGGAATAAATCTTTAGTCTTTATTTGCCAAATCCTTTCCTTCCCCTTGTTCCACTGGAAACTTCAGACACGTGGTTTTTATATATATTTTTCTTACACACTCATCTTCATTCTTAACTTTTGTTGTTGTTATTGTCTTGCGAATTTGTTCAGTATTATTGTGTCATTAAGTGCTATCAAAATATGTTAAACTGCATCTTGCTGCTTACTCGAGTTACTGTTTGCAAGGTCAGAAGCTCATTTGTTGCATTTGCTAAAATTTGCTCTTCACTTTCAGTATTCATTGCTCTATATTCTCTTTTATTTCTGTTTCATCTCAGGAATTTCTATATCTTAATTGATCTCAACAACATAATACGGTGATCAGAACAATTCCTGAGTAAATATCATTTATATATTGCCTCAACTGCTGCAGCCTTGTCACTGTGGGTCATTACTTTGCCAATGTAATTACACAATGTGGGGTCAAAATTAGTTTACCTTCTTTCAGATAAGGACAATTTGGTCACTATTATGTTAGCCACATTTTCTTATTTATTTAAGAGAGAAGAACAAAAGCTATTTGAGCAGTAACGTATATGGAGTACCCTAGTACACACACAAACATGCGAATACACACATATACACAGAATTGAACTTTCTATGAAGCGGTGCTTGTTTGAAGACCCAAAAATTTTAAAACAAATCCTGGAGAGATAGATTAGGAAAACGTAATCTTTACATAAGAATTGAAAAATAAAACAAGGTTTTTTAGTGAGAAGATAAGCTTTGTATAACTTTCAGGATATTAGTAAAAAGAAAAGAATAAGATATTTTACTGAATCTATCAGAGGAATAAGCAGATATTTTTTCTTCCTTTCACATTTTATAAGTATGCATGTAGGCTGAAATACCAGTTTAGAAAATGTCCTGTTATTTAAGTCCATGGCCTATAATACACTCTAGAGATTTTGTAATCACATAATATTTTACAAAATGCCACTTTATATGTTGATGGTAATACAACAGTTAGCTGTGATTTTCATTGCAAATACACTTTGTGTCCAGTGAGTATATGTTCAGAATGTCTATGGCTTTTCGTAAAGAATCAAAGGAGCAAGTATGGTCAGTATTTCCCACGTTGACCATTGTAATACTACTAACGGGACAATTGGGATCAAAGAAACCAAACTCAGGCTTAAATTTTAAAGGGAAAATATAGCTTACAACTGTATGTTTTAAATATAACACTAAAATTAGTAATTTATGACTTTCATGTGAAAAATTTGCTCTAAATCTATTTAAATCAGTAAATTGCATTTTATTTTAATGAAAGGATTGTTAAATATTTGAAGAGAGATTATTAATGATAGAATTCAGCAAAGCTCTACTGGAAAGCCACAAGGAAGGATATATATTTAGCTGTGAATGTGGCATGTCATCCAATAAGCTCAAAAACGATTTCTTCTTTACTTTAATCAAACAAAAATACAGCTGAAGTGATTTTTCAAGGATGAGGGGTGAAAAGTAACTGAATAGTGAATGCAATAGGAGTATTAAATGATGGAGACACTGTAAATAATACACTGTAAATAATACAGTAAATAATACTGCCCATATTAGAGTCAGAGGTGTTACAGTTACCTGAAGCCTTCCAATCATGCAATAATTTCAAAGGAAGGTGTAAAATCCATGAAACACAACTGGTTTTTAAAGCCACACTGAGACTCCTTAATGCTGTTCGAATTCTGAAAGGTCCTTATCTCTTCAGGTTGAGGAATAGGGCTTAAAGTTTCAGAAGTGAGGAATTTATTGAATTGATCTAAATTTAGAAGATGAATTAAAATACTGTAATTTTTCAGTACCTTGAAGTATCAGAAAATCAAAGAACATAAATATAACAATTAGAGGTGAAACAAACTAATGAAATTCAAACTATCTGTGCATGATATTTGAAATGGAAATTCATACATCATGCAAATCCTAAACTTACATCCATGTAAAACACCTCTTTAGTCAGAAACTTTACATCCACATACATCATAAAGCCTCCAAGTGCTTCAATTAGATCTTTAGACTTACTCCATTTGGCTTTGGTCAGGATGATAGTATCTAAGATCTATATCCTTATCTTAGGGTTTTGAGGCATACTAGATATAAAACCATATTCAAAAAATATTTCAGAAAAAATATGATACATTAAAATAGAATTTTTGAAAACTGTATGAACTCTGACATCACTATATCATTTAAGAATATTTTGGCCACCAAGTAGATAACACAATAAAAACAATG